GCTCTGTGCATATTCGGCCCAGACGCTTCCGAGCGTTAGAAGGACGGAGAGCGGTACTCGTTGAAGTCTGGCCCTCGCCGGAGCGCCGAGGGCACTCATCCTTGCACGTTCCCTGCAACAGCTGGACGGATGAGAGGCGGTTCCCGTTCCCACGGGGCTCTCGCGTGCCACTCCCTCGACCAGGGCTGAACCTAAACGGTGTTCTTTGATTTCGTATTGTTTTTGTTTTCCCTCGCTTTCGCCTCGAATCCGCCTTCACCTCAAGACGAAGTCGAAACGCAAACGGCCCACGAGATCGCCAAAAGCACCGTCCAGGTCCAGCCCTGCCCTCCACTGGAGCAGCCAGAGACTCGAGTGTTGACGGAGAGGGGCCAGGCGAAGGCTCCGTGGTGGCTGCCAGGACTGAGGGCGATCCCCTGTGAAACCGGGGCTGCTGCCCGGGACTCCTCACAGATGCACCGGCCAGAAGCGGGGAGCCCACAGAGGACGCGCGCGCGCCCAACCACGCACATGAATTCGGCCGAGCAGTCCGCGAAACCAGCCTCGTGGTTCGAACGTTTGCGCAAAATGCGCACGTTCGAAACCAGCGTGGATCCATGCACGTGTGCGTTCTCCTTTCGCTCTCGGGACCTCTGCGGCAACTGCACGCGGCGGGGGGACGGTTGCGCGGTTCAGAACGGGGCCGTCGCTAGATACGGTGCGGCGCGGTCGCAAGAAACCATCGCAAGAAACCCAACCCTGAACACCCGCACGCGAGGTGCACCTGAGGAGAAGCCCGGAGCACCCGGAACGCCGCAGCTTCTGAACGGCCGCGGGAAGTCGCCGCGTAGCGCGCGGCTTCGAAGAAACCCAGGGCACCCTGGCGAAAAGCACTTGGCTTCTTGATGCGCGCCTCCACTGTACCTCGCTTTTTGTTGACCTTGTGGTTAGAGGCCTCCTAGATATGGTCGGAGTAGATGGGGTCGAAGGATCGCGCCGCATCGCCGATACATCGGCGATGCATCGGCGATGCATCGGGCATGCATCGGCTCCGTCGGCGTGTAGCCAATCGGGCTCCACATCGAGCCGCGTCGCCGATGCATCGCCGATGCATCGGCGATGCGGCGCGATCCCCCGACCCCCTCTACTCGGACCCCATCTGTGAGGCCTGGAGTGATCCTACCTCGTCGCGCTCATGGAAGGAGCCGCTGGGAAGATGCGGGGCAGCGCTTCGACGTGGGGTGCCGCTTGCCCGGGGGACGACGGGCCAATCGGGCGCTCGTCGCTCGAGGAGGGGGCACCGGTGGCGAACAAGAACAAGAGAAGCGGGGGACTTGCAGCTGAAAGTGCGATCAAGGAATCGATCGACTACGGCCGAAAAAAGGATCAGGGAAAATATCGTTTCAGAAGAATGAGGACCAGCTTCCCAAAGGCTCCTCAGGACAAGCCTGGGCCAACTTCTATCGTTCACGCTGAGGGGGCGGACGTACTCAAGAAACTGGGCCAATTTTCTGGCAAGTTGGTCAAGAAACGCTGGCCGAACTTTTCGGGAGGAGGCATCTGAATCACATGCTCGACCGTAAAGCATCCTGGGCCACCGTTCCAAAACTTTCGCGAAACAAACCTGGGCCAATGTATTCAGGTAACTCTTGAAGGGCAACGTGCTCAAGAAACTGTGCCAATGCAGAAACACTGGCCCAGCAATCCCGGGTGAGCCTTCTACTTCAGATGCTCGACCGTGTGGGGATGGGACATGGACTGGGGGGTGTATTGCAGAACCGTTCATGCCTCGTGCGTGCGACGGGAAATCTTCCTGCAAAGCATGTTGAGGCACATTCGTCGTCGATCTTTGAGACTGGGGCCACCAGGGGATACAACATTTCCGTGGGGCATCTGCTAGCAGGCCGATGTCTCATTTGCTGTGCCTGCTGTACTCTGGTCCCCTTCCTCGCAACGACTGAGGCGCGCACCAGATGGGAGCGCGAGCTGTCTGTGTTCATAGACGTCGAGGCGATGGATCGCTGCTGGTTGCCGCGCTCCAGGACGTCCTGCAGCTCCCGCTGGTCTTGGCACTCCTGCTCGGTCAGGTTGTCCAGGACGACGTCGCCGTCTCTGTCCTTTGCTCCTCCTCCTTGTCCACTCGCCTTCCCAGGTATCCGACGATATGACTTTCTCAATACGGGAGTATTTCCTCGATTTCTGCCTCCAGGGCCGGTGATCAGGCCCTGGGACAATCAAAAACGGATCCCCGACGAACGAAACTACCTCGGGCCACCTCGGGGGAAGCGGGCGGGAGCTCCAGGGCCGCGGATTGGAAAAGTCAGATCGGAGGTCGTCCGGGTTTCCCTCCTGACAGTGTTCCTTCCTTCCATCCTTCTCGTTCCTCATGCCTCTCCACACCCTTCATCCTCTCCATCTCCATCCTCCATCCACCATCCCCTGTTCGCTCCTCGCCCCTCCTCCTCATCCCTGCTTCCTTCTCCTCTCAATCTGGGGGCAGACACCGCCGGCTCACGTTGTTGGAAAATGGTCGTGGTCGCTGTGATGAAACAGCACCTGGGTGCGACGCTGGCGAATTGTCGGAGGCCTGTAGAAGAAAGAAGCGGACCGCCTGAACAAAAGGGGGCGTCAGAAGGGCGGCCGGAGAGAGCTCCATCTGCCGTCAAAAGAACCCCGGAGGGCCTGGATGGGGCCCTGGACACAGCCGAAAAGGGATTCCAATGGAATCGAATACTGCGGTTGTGGGCAAAAGTGGAACAGGCTGTGCCTCCAGCGTCCAAGACAGCTCCAGAGGGCACCAAGAGGGCGACAAGAGGGCGCCAAGAGGCCCGAAGATGGCTCCGACAAGCTTTCGTGACGGCCGCACAGGCATGAAACTTATACCAAGGTGGCCCGAGAGGCAGCAAGAGTCCCTACTGCCTTCCTCCCTCCCTCCTCCCTCCCACTCCACCTCGTCCTCCTCCTCCTCCCTCCTCCTCCACCTCCTCCTGAACCCTAATGAACTGGGATCAAGATATACCCGTGCAGCTAAATACTCCACGGCTCTCTCTGACGTGCTGTTTGACCATAATTTCGAAGCGAATCCAGTCGAGACGACGAGGGCACCCCAGGAGACCGAAGACGACGAGAACTAAACAAAACGAGCACGAGGCCAGGAAAGATAGCGGTGTTGTGCACCTTTTCCTCCTCTAACTGTCCATTCAGCTGCTCCTCCCCCTGGCCCCTCCCTCTTGAGCAGGGACCCGCGGTCCCACTATTCCCGTAGGCCTACGAATGATTCTTCTTCTAACAGGAGAAAGCAATAATAACGAAAGCAATGTCTGTAACACATCAACTCGATTGATTGAAACAAGACGGTCTCAGCCAGACATGTTCTGAGAAAACGTCGTGCAACCTCAACCGCCAGAGGCGCCACCAGGGGGTCCCAGCGCCCATTCAAGAAATCCGCGCGGACCTCAGACAGTTTATGCATCATGCATTATGCATTTGTTTTAATATTCGACTGCAGGCCTGGAACGTCCATTTGCGGGGCGCGCAATCGGGTGGAGAGAGGGGGGAAGGCTTCTTAGAGGGAGGCTGCTTCTCAAAAGGCGCTGGCCTTGCATCTATGGATCAGGCCCGCTTGCTAAGAAGCAGGGCCCTTCTGAGAAGCAAGGGCTCCCAACTTCGCGCTTCGCGCTTCGCGAAGCGCGAGGTGCGAATAACTTCGCGCTCTCGCGCCGCCTCCCAGGGGAGAGGAGGAGGATGGGAAGGATGAGGAGCCGAACCACGAAGCGAGAAGCGCGAATAACTTCGCGCCCTCGAGGGCGCCCTTGGAGAAGCCCTCCCCCCTCCCCACCCACCTCAGAAAGGGGGAAGCGGGTGGTCATGAGGGAACTGCGTCCTGGACCCCAAGGGCCCCCCCCCCCCCCCTGGACGAGATCCTCCCCCTGAGCTGTTTCCTGACGGTCTCCCTGGGCCCGTGGAGGGCCCCTCCTCCTCCTCCTCCTCCTCCTCCTCCTCCTCCTCCTCCTCCTCGGCGAAGACGTTTCCCTCACGGACTCGTTTCCCCCACGGCGACGACGTCGTCGACCCCCAAAGGTCTCGACCCCTTCACCCGGACGGGTCTTTCATCCCGAATCGTATTGGAAGGTCCCGAGGCCTGGTGGCGGCCTCCAGAGGCCGGAAATAGCGAAACACCGCCCGCCCCGATCTTGTCACAACTCGAGGGGGTCTGGGAACCCCACTCTTTGAGCAGGTACCGACCGTCCCGGCATTCCTATCGTCCTTCCACAAGATGTTCTTCGAACCCCCAAACAGTTGTAAGAACAAAACATGTTCTGAGAACGTCAACCCGATGTGTTAAAACAAAACAGCTTCAACCAGAAATGTTCTAAGAACACTTCCTGGAAAAAAGTTCTTCGGACATTGTTTGGTAGGCCGTTAGGCACGCCAGGACGCTTCGCCACTGCTTGAACTCTGCGCGTGGCTGAATCCTGCCGGATGCTCACCGACGACGCCCTCGGCGCCGCCCTGGGGCTCGCCCTCGGGCTCGCGGCGGCGCCAGCGGTGCCGCGCCGGCCGCCCTCGGCGGGGCGCCGCCGTCGCCGCCGTCGCCGCCCTCATCCACGTCGCCGGTGGGGCCCGCCAACGGCTGGGCCAAGACCCCAAAAGTATAAGGGGGGCCCAGGGACACACAAATGTGTAGACACAAATATCAGAATTGTCTATATTTCCCGACCAGCCTGTGGTGTTGGGTGCGCATTTTGCAGAGACATCGCCCCGCGTCTCCTCCTCCTCCATCCTCCTCCTCCTCATCATTCTGCTCCTCCTCCTCCTCCTCCTCCTCCTCCTCCTCCGTCTCCTGCGCTTCTCTTCCCGCACCCATCTCTAGGGAGCTCCACAGAAGGCTCCAGTGACAGGGGCTGCATGGCGGCACCGCACCCATTTCGGCACACCCCTCACTAGGATCGTGGCCACGTAGGGAGCTCCACAGAAGGCTCCAGTGGCAGGGGCTGCATGGCGGGACCGCACCCATGTCGGTACACCCCTCACCAGGATCTGGGCACCGTGGGGAATTCCGCGGAAGGCTCCAATAGCAAGGGTTGCATGGCGGCACCGCATTAGTTTCGGTACACCCCTCACCAGGATCGTGACCCCGTAGGGAGCTGCACAGAAGGCTCCAGTGGCAAGGGTTGGATGGATGGCGGCGACGCGCCGATTTCGGCACAGCTCCTTCAAGAGGATCGTGGCCACGTAGGGAGCTCCACAGCAGGCTCCAATGGCAGGGTTTGCGTGTCGCCACTGCACCAATTTCGGCACACCCCTCACGAGGATCGTGGCTCCGTGGGGAGCTCCAGAGAAGGCTCCAATGGCAAGGTTTGCATGGTGGTACCGCACCTATTTTGGCATACCTTTCACGAGGATCGTGGCCTCATAGGGAGTCCACAGAAAGCTACATACAAACGAGACTCCCGCCTGAGACTTCCTCAAGATTCAGGCCTGAGAATCCGAAAGTGATGACGGTTACAGGATCCCGACGACCCGCTCCGATTCCAACGTGATGTGCGGGACCCATAAGGACGGGGCTCCCGCCTGAGATTTCCTCGGCATTCACTCACACACGGGGTTCCCGTCCGTCTGAGACTTCGTCAATGTTCAGGCCTGAGGAGCCCGACAGTGATGACAGGTACAAATTTCCGAGGGACCGCTCGGATTCGAACGTGAGGTGCGGGACCCGTGAGCGGGGGGGTCCGCTTGAGACTTCCTCGCAATTCGCTCACAGACGAAGCTCCCGCCTGAGAGCCCCTGAAGATTCAGGCCTGAGGAACCCCAAAGGACGACATTGACAAATCTCCGATGACCCGCCCGGACTCCAACATGAAGTCCGGGACCCATACGGAAGGGGGTCCCAACTGAGACTTCTTCGTGGTCGATGACTACGATGGGATGGTGATACTGATGCATGTGTGATGGTAATGATGGTGATGGTGAATTGGTGATAGTGATGCTGATGAAGAAGTGTGCGGATCTGATGGTGATGACGATGGTGATGGTTAGTGAATGTGTGTGTGCGAAAGCGCGCTGATGATTATAACTGGGTGTGCGCTGACGATGATGATCGTGGTAAGAAGAAGCGGGGCGAGGAGGAAACAAAAACGGACTGCGCGGGGTGTCCAGCAAATCAATAACCCCACTTACGATGTGGCGAAACATAATGCGATTTCTTGGGAGGTCGACGTCCGTTTCTGCCGGTTTCCGCCGACCTTCCGCAGGCCTCCGCCAGCTGAGGCGCCATCGGTTTACTTCAACCGCTGCCACCCGCCCGTCCGCAGAGGAAGACATGGCAGCCCCCTCGATCCTCGAAGGCCATGCCCTCTCGGGAGCGCCACATATGTACTGGGACATATGCATGTGAGGCGAAGGGAGGAAACGAGGTGTGGAAGGTGTCGTGGGTGCGGCGCGTGTTGGGAAAACATCTCAACCCCGCTCAGGATGTGGGCTCGAAGGCCCTTGTGGTTTCCAGAATCCGCGCTGCACCCCCAAAAAGAGAAAGGGGCAGCGCGGGAGACGCCGCCAGCCGAGATCCACCGCCGACCCGTTAAATCCGCGCAGGCCTCCGACAAATTACACATGCAGCTCCCCGACGGTAGGACCCCGCATGAGAACCCTCTCGGCTAATCTGGTAATTCCCCTCATCGTCGTCCTCGTGATCGGTGAGGCGTCCTTGCTGTTTCCTCTGCATCATTATCCTTCTCGCCCTGGCGCAGGCCCTCCCGCTTCTACGTTGCCCCCTCCTCGCCCTCCTGTTTTTTTTCTCACCCCCGCCACCTCCCCCCTCTCTATTGCAAGAGGGCGCGTGTCGATTTTCCTCGGCGCCGTCGCCGCCTCCGCCAGCGCGGGCGCATTCTCGAATGGCCACATCGCGCAGCCGTTGGGGCAATCCCGCCGGCCAGGCCGCAGGGACAACCCCGCGAGCTGCTGGGGCGCGGGAGCAAGTTTTTGGGACAACCCCGCAGGCACCGAGCTAATCGCGGCCGCGCTCAGGCGGGATGCAGCACGCAACCCAATTCTGCCGCGAGCCGCTCCGCCTCTGCACTGGCACTCCCCGCTCTCTTGCCGAACTCCCTGAGTGCCTTCCGCAGGGACGCCAGCGGCCCGCTCTCCAAGAAATTCCGCGGGGGCGGCCGCACGATCACCATGTTCCGCATGCGCGTGGAGCGGAAAAAACATGACGTAGAGATGCAGCATTCCTCCTCCTTTGATGGGTGGAGCGAGTGGCCCTCTAAAAAACCCGAAAGGCTTCGCTCGGATTCCTCTGCGCCCCAGTGGATCCGATGGCCCGCTCGGTGTCCAACGAGCTCCTAGAATCGGAGGAGGAAGGAGAAAGAGAGAGAGAGAGAGACAGAGAGAGAGAACAAAAAACACAAAGCGAGAGATATCAAACAACCAGAGAGGGAGGATTTGGATTTCGCAGTCATTCGCTGATATCCACAGCTGCTTCCAGGGACCTGCTGGTTCCAGGGACCAGCTGATATCCACAGCTGCTACCCCGCCCCGCCCCGCCCCGTCCGTCCACCCAGGGAACCCTCCCTGTCGAAACATCCCCGAACTGACGTTCCATATTCCTGCCCGAAGAGCCTGGTCGGATTCTATGTTGCCGATTTGCAAGCACCCCGCTCGGATTCCAACATAGACATGGGGCTCCCACAGAAAGGGGGCTCCCACCAGAGACCTCCTCGCCATGCACTCACAGACAAGGCTCCCGCCGGAGATTTCGTCAAGACTCAAGCCTGAGGAGCCCAGAAAAGATGACAAGGTCACTCTTCCGATGACCCGCTCGGATTCGCACATGGTGTGCGGGACCCATACGGAGAGCGTTCCCGCCAGAGACTTCCTCGGAACTTACTCACAGACGAGGCTCCCGCCTGAGAATGCGTCAAGATGAATGCCTGGAGAGCCCGGAACTGATGACAGGTACAAGATCACAATGACCCGTTCGGATTCGAACATGATGTGCGGGACCCATAAAGAGGGGGTTCCCGCCTGATACTTTCTCGCAATTCACTCACAGACGAGGCTCCCGCATGAGACTTCGTCAAGAGATTCAGGCTTGAGGAGCCCGAAAAAGATGACAGGGTCACGAATCCGATGACCCGTTCGGATTCGCACGTGATGTGCGGGACCCAGAAGGAGGGGATTCCCGCCAGAGACTTCCTCGAAATCACTCACCGACGAGGCTCCCGCCTGAAACTTCCTCAAGATTCAAGCCTAAGGAACCCGAAAGTGATGACCGTTACAGGATCCCGATGACCCGTTCGGATTCGAACATGAGGTGCGGGACGGGTTCGCGTCTAAGACTTCCTCGGAATTCACTCACAAACGAGGCCTGCCTGAGACTCCCTTGAGATTCAAGCCTGGGGAGCCCGAAGATGACGACAGTTGCAGGTTTCCGATGACCCGCTCCGATTCGAACATGAGGTGCGGGGCAAATACGGAGGGGGTTCCCGCCTGAGACTTCTTCAAATCCCACTCACAGACGAGGTTCCCTTTTGGTCGATGATCACGATGGGATGATGATAATGATGAATGTGTGATGATAATGGTGGTGATGGTGAGTTGGTGGTAGTGGCGCCGATGAGGAGGTGTGCGAATCTGATGATGGTGACGATGGTGATTATGAATGAGGTGTGTGTGTGTGTGCGTGTGCGTGTGCGTGTGTGTGTGTGTGTGTGTGTGTGAGAGAGAGTGCTGATCATTATGAATGACTGTGTGCTGATGATGACGACGGTGGTAAGAGGAGAGGGGGTGAGGAGAAGGAGGAGGAGGAGGACTGGGGAAAAAAGCATAAACATTCGGAGGTCCGCGTGGATTTCTTGGACAGGCGCCGGACCCACCTCCCAGGCGCGCTGAGCCCACCAGAGGCGGCGCCAGAGACGCCACCAGAGGGAACTGGCGCCGATCCGCAACATCCGCGCGGAGCTCCGAAAGTTTGTGGTTACGCATCTTCGCTTTGACTAATTAGTTGAGCAGTGACCGACCGTCCCAGCAATCCTACAGGCCTACCACGACATGCTCCTAGAACAAACGATGCTCCAATAACAAAAACAGCATTCTTAGAACATAAAACCGATGTATACAAATAACACGGTGTCAGCCAGAAAGAACCAGAGAACAAAGGGTTCTAAGAACAAGGTTTGGTGGGGATACAGGCGAGCTGGGACGCTTCGCCACTGCTTGAGTTATGCTTACGTATGCAGCTCTTTCTTCGTCGAAATGAGGACGCGCCTGACCGAAGGCGGGGGGCACGGCAGGCTTCGCCGGCCCGGCCAGCAGGTCGTGGACCTCGTTGCAATATAGCTCCAGCACGGAGGCCGTGACGGAGTGCTCGTGCACGCTCCGATTTGCGTCCATGACCCTGTAAATCTCCTTTCGCGGCGAGCGAGTGGGGGAAGTGAGAAGGAGAAGGCCTGCTCGGGAGGCGGCAGGACTTCTCAGAAGCCCTCGCACCTGCTGAACAGCTGTCTGCGTCCACGGGGAAGGCTTGGAGAACTTCTCAGAAGGCCGGTGCATTTCCGAGCTTTTTGAGAGGGCCTTCGCCTTCTGACTCTCCTCCTCCTCCTCCTCCTCCTCCTCCTCCTCCTCCTCCTCCGGCGCGCCGCCGACTCTTGCTGGCTGCGCACAAAACCCACACACACCCACGTCGCGAGGAAATCGCAGCGGGCGGTGCCTAACCCCGTGTCGACCACCGAGGGCCATCGGCAGGCCCTGGGGCCGTCCACAAAACTGCTCGGTACGGAAAAGGCTGGTCCCGGGGAGGCCGTCGAGACCTCCAGAGGCCCACGCTGAGAAAAACATCACATCGTGGGTCAGGGAACAGGGCAGGGCTGGGGTGGGAGCGGCCTTCTAAGAAAACACTACGCCTCTGTGGAGGCCGCCAAAATGGGGTCCGAGTAGATGGGGTCGCGCCGAAACGCAGATGCATCGGCGATATCGGGACGGAGACCATCTGGTTCCGAATCGAGCCACGTCCTCGAGGCATCGGTGATGCGGCGCGACCCTCCAGCACCATCTCATCGGAACCCATGTGAGCGGCCTGGACTCTTAGAAGCCCTCCTGACTTCCTGACTAAGCATTCTCAGGAACCTCTGGGCCACTGGGAGGGGGCGGGGCCCAACCAGGAAGCCCAAACCCCAGCGCAGAAGGCTGATCCACTCGCCCTGCCTCACTGTGCGCGCCGTCGATCCTCGATGGTGCGGGGGGCGACTCCAGCGTTGGACGGCGTGCCAGCCATCGTGAAGGTCTTCCCGGCGCCCGTCTGGCCGTAGGCGAAAATGGTGACGTTGAAGCCGTCCAGCGCCGACTGGACCAGCTCCCTGCAGTCCTGGAACACCTGAGGATAGAGCTATGCAGCTGTGTCACACATGCGCGCGATTCTTTCTCCCGAGCGGCGCACGGACTGGCCCAGACCGCGGACAATCTAGCACGACTGAACGAGCGGATCCTGGGAGTCCTGTTCACACAAAGCACAACAGCTACACTGCACCCACGCGGAGGACATGCACGGGGAGCAAGCACACCAGAGACGGTGGTTCTTAAGAGGCTCTTGCCCGAAGTAGGCCAGGCCAGCGTTCTGGCGGAGCCTTGAGCGAACGTTGGGCCAGCCTCGCCAGCACAGCCCCAGTAATCTGGAGGAAAAAATACCGCCGCTTTTCCACGGACCTCTCCCGGGTTGCGTTCTGACCAAGATTCCGAGGCGGATCCCGCCGTAGCGATGAGGGCCTCGCCCGAGGCCCCCAAAACAGGGAAAACGAAACAAAGGCAGCGGCAATTATACATTGGCCTTGACCAAGGACTGGGCAAATCTGGGCCGCCTTGCCGGACACTGCCGAAGAGACACGCCGGGCTGGACAGACGGTCTTCGGCGACTTCGACGGGTGTCGTTTGCAAAGGGTGTGGTTTGCAATCCGCACCCTGAGGGACGGGAGAGGACCTCGACAGAGTTATCCGCCGCTCCCCGAGGCGGCCCGACGAGGGCAACGTGGTGCCGCCTTTCAAGTCCCAACCGACGCAGATCGCAGATCACACCCCAGTGAAACCACACCCCTGGTAGTCGCCGAGGTCTGCCGCGGGACTGGTCGGACCCCGGAAGCATAGCCGCACCTCGAGTAATTCGGGCCGGCCGCTCGCGAGGAGCTCGCCGCCGCAAGGCCGGTGAGAGGTGCGGCGCCGGGGAGGTGCGGCTGGAGGAGCAACGAGAGTGTCAATGGCACGCCGCCAGCGAACGTCAGCAGTCACCGGCGGCCTGCAGCACCAGCCGCCCGCCCAGCACGAAGCCCGGTGCGCGGCGTCGGCCCAGCCTCTCTGGGTCGCAACTGCCGCACGCGCCCCGCGCAACACCTGCCGTCGCGAGCTACCTCTGGGTGAGACCGCGCCACCCATCCGGCCGAGCTCCGCCGCCTCGCCCCTCCTGCTGGCGGAGCAGAAACGAACGCCGCCGTGGGGAACCCATCAACATACTCATGTTGAAGAAAAACCAAGTCTTCGGGCAGAAAAGGAACAGAAAACACGCTGGCATGCTCCCACCAGCGGCGTGCCATTGATACGCGGTGTCCCTCCCGAGCGGCAGGGCTCAGCCAGAGGGGCGGCGTGGTCATCGGAGGCGGCTCGGGGCAGCAGGTGCGGCCTTGGGAGACTGGGCCGACGCCGCGCACCGGGCTTCTTGCTGGGCGGGCGGCCAGTGCTGCAGGCCGCCGCTGACGGCTCACGTTCGCTGGACGACGACGACGACGATGGCGGCGGCGGGCAGTCCGGAGGTTAGGGGCGAGGTCCACTCTTCTGGTGTTGCTGGAGGTAATCCTGGCCCAAGGTGACCCGAGCTTCTCAACGGAGCCCCAGGTGGCCTCCAGAGCACCCCTCACGAGGCCCAGAGGGCCCAAGGGCCCCTCAATGGCGCGAACAGCGGGGGCACCTTGGGCCAGGGACACGTCTGGCAACATCCGAACTCGATGTTCATGGGGTCCTTCCATTTGTGTTCCTTTGGCGCTCTTCGCGCACTGGGGCTCAACGGAGAGCTTCGTTCCTTATGCAAGGTCAAACTGGTGACCGCAAATATTCCCTCTGCTCTGACATGCAAAAGGCAAGGCCCCTTCCAAAAATCAACCTGGCGCGACCCCAATGAGGGGAAAGCCTGTGGCATGGGCGCATCGCTAAGCGCATCGCTTGGCATTGCTTGGCATTCCTTGGCATTGCGTGGCATTACTTGGCAATGTTTTCGCATGGGTTGGCATTGCTCGGCATTGCTAGGTATCGCTTGGCATTGCTTGGCATTGCATGGCGTCGCTTGGCATTGCTTGGCCTTGTTTGGTATTGCTTTGCAATGGCTTGGAATGGCTTTGAATGGCTTGACATTGTTTGGAATTGCTTGGCACTGCTTGGCATTGCTTGATGATTGCAGAGCTGCGAACCCGGATGGGCTCGCAGGGCGTGCTCCCATCCATCCCAAGCGCCGTGTCTCAACCCGTCGCACCGAGAACGAGGCGAGGGGAGAGGGAGGAGCAGGGGGGAGACGGCTACACGCAGGGGTGACCACAGGCGGGAATGACCTTCGGTGCGCGACTTTGGAGGGGCGCGGGAGGGCGGGGGGGAACCCAAACGCGCAAGCCGCTGCGGTCGCACCGCACTCGGCCATCGTGGGGCCCCAGCGGGCCCGCACCAGAGGCCACCCGGGCCACAGGTCAGTCTCGAGTGCAGCTGGGACGAGGGAAAGGGCATGGACGACAAGCTCAACTCGGGTCGGGCGAAAGGGGGAGATAGCAAAGGGGGGGTTTGAGAATCAGCTCACGTAGCTGATTTTTCCGGCGCCTCCCGGCGCCGGAGGCGGCTATGTATCGAGGAATGGGCCCCTCGGTGAGGCCGAAACCAGCTGCATGCAGCAAATTTCGTACCCCCCCCTTTCCCAATCCCCCCCTTTCGTCCGGCCCGATCAACGACGATGACCACAAGATCCGACGTTTTGATTACCCATGGGTCGGAAGAAGCGGGCAGAAGAAATGGGAAGGCGTTGAAAGCAGATCGGGCTGCCGCCCGCCCCCTGAGGACGAGGGAAGAGGGAAGACCTCTCCACTCTTGAAATAGGAAGGCGCTTGAAGAAGACCAAGGCTTGGATATCCAAAGATGCCTACTTTCAACGACCGGCGGGTTCGAGGTCCCCGGAAGTCCCGACCCTTTCCTCGCCATCGCTTGGACGTCCATTCCCCGAGCATGTTTCTGCTTCGTGAGTGCATTTTTAACGTAGGATGACCCAAGAGGCTCCTCCATGGCCTTCGCCGAGAAGAAACGCACACGTCCGAGCGATGCCAAATTTCACCGGGGCCACTTCATCCCGAATCGTTTTGCTGACTGTCCCGGGGCCCGGCGGGGGCCTCCAGATGCCGAGGCTCGTCAAGAACTTCCCGTGCCCTGCCTTGGCCCCACGACGCGAGGAGGTCAGGGATGAGGCCGATACCGATACTGCCCTTGGACCTCCTCCGGGGTGCATTCTGACGGGAAACTTGAGGCGAATCCAGCCGTCAAGTGACCACACGTGCACCCTGCCCCCGTCCCTCACGAGTTCCAAGGGGGGGGGGGGCCCAGAAATCGCAGGAGGTGCGCGCAGGGTTCACGTGTGGTCCACGAGCAGTGGTGGCGAGGGCTCTGAGAACCAGAAGCGGGATCGGCATCTCTTCCTCGCTGAGCCCCCGCGGGCCTGCTCAGGCCCGACGTCGCTTAAAAAAATCTGCCTCGCGAAGAATCATCCTGCTGCATTTTTCAAGCTGGATCGATCCGTGATGGCCCTGGGGCCCGGAGCCGGGCGAAAAGGCCCGCCCTGACTTCGGAGCCGCTTCATTTGGGTCGAGCCTCCGATTGAAAACTGTGCCCGTAATGGACATGCACCGGGAACACTCTGAAAAAGTGCGGCGGAGAGCTCCGTATCAGAGAAGGGCAAGGGCCCGAAGACCGGCACAGAAGCCCGGACATGTGAGGGGTGTGTCAGACTAGGCGAAGGAAGGCATACGAACCCTGCCACTAGGGCCATCGGTGAAGCTTTATATCAGGCAGCAAAGCGTGTGAGGGGTGTGCCGACATGGAGGCGGCGCCGCCATGCGAGCCGTGCTACTGAGGCCTGCAGAAGAGCTCCCCATGGGGCCACGAAACGTGCGGGCGGCGTGCCGAAATGAAGCGGGGCCGCCATGCAAACCCTGCCACTGGGGCCTTCGGTGAAGTCCTCCATTGGGTCACGAATCCTGTGGGGGGGGGCCGCAATGGAGGCCGGGCCGCCATGCGCACCCTGCCACTGGGGCCTTCGGTGGAGCTCCGCATGGGGCCACGAAACGGAGGGTGTGCCGACATGGAGGCCGGGCCGCCATGCGCACCCTGCCACTGGGGCCTTCGGTGGAGCTCCGTATGGGGCCACGAAACGAAGGGTGTGCCGACATGGAGGCCGGGCCGCCATGCGAACCCTGCCACTGGGGCCTTCGGTGGAGCTCCCTATGGGGCCACGAAACGTGTGAAGGGCAGAGGCGAGGAGGGGAGGAGGGAGGAGGGGCAGGAGGAGAGAGGAGAGGAGGAGCGCGGGGCGCTGCGTCTTCAAAACGAGGACGCCCGGACCTCGGGGATGGTTGGGAAAAACGCCCGGACCTCAGGGACCCACGCGCGCCTGCGCCTGCGTCCCTGGAGAGAACACAGCGTCGAAGTGGAACAGGTGCCTCGTGACCTTGGTGTCTGGCCGATCACTCGGCCGATCACACCACCCGATCACGTGATCCGATCGCAGCCCCGATCACGATGGCTACCGGGCCGACCACGGATAAATCACGCACTCAAGCTCGGACAGTCGGGCGATCAAGCCGAAGCGATCAAGTGATCGCCGATCACGTGATCTCCCGATAGCTGCGATCTGTGATTGGCGATCGCATGATCAGCAGACACTGGGCTTGTGACCTGCGGGGAACCGCGCACATCCGAGCCTTCCTGGCTAAGCTCCACCGTGAGCGGATCCACCTCGGGATACGGCGCCGCCGCCGTCGCCCTTGCGATCGTTCTCGTCCTCGCCATCCTTGTCTTCATCCTCGTCGTCGTCGTCGTCCCCGTCGCCGTCGCCGTCGCCGTCGCCGTCGTCATCGTCCTGGTCGTCGCCGCTGCCGTCGTCGTCGTCGCCGCTGCCGTCGTCGTCGTCGTCGTCGTCGTCGTTTCCGTCGTCGTCGTTGTCCTCGGCGTCGTCGTCGCCTCCGTCGTCGCTGTTCTCGTCCTCCTCCTCCTCCTCCTCCTCCTCCTCCTCCTCATCATCATCATCCGCCTCTTCCTCTTCCTCATCCTCCTCCTCGTCCTAGTCGTCGTCGTTGTCCTCATCCTCCTCTTCCTCCTCGTCGTCCTCGTCGTTGTCGTCGTCCTCGTCCTCGCCCTCGTCCTTGTTGTCTTCGCCGTCATCGTCGAGGGCGACGACGACTATCTGCAACGTGCGGCTGCCGTGCTGAAGCCCGCCGCCTTGTCCCACCGCCCCCCCCCTCCCGCTGCGGCTGCGCGCAGGGGGGCAGTTAGTCGAGAGGGGTTGGCGAGCCAGGAGCCCACAAGCGGTGTGGTGACCACACCGCGTGGTGCGCCAATGGGGATTCGGGATCACCGCACGGCTGTGGGACGCGGGTCGTTCTACGAGGACGTCTCGGGCGACTGGGGCCTCCGAGGTCCCATGGCCGCGCGGTGACGGACCGCGCGGTGGGTTGGCGAATCAAGCCACATTTAGAAATCAACTCACGGAAGCTGGTGTCGCCCCTATGGCGCCCAATAGCGCGCCCCTATGGCGCCCCAAATCGGCCGTGATGCATCTCCATCATATGACACTTCTGGCGCCAGTGGGCGCTATTGGGTGCCAGCTGGGCGGTGTTAGGCGCTACTGGGCGATATTGGGCACTATTGAGCGCTATTGGGCGACCATGGGCGCGGTGCGCGCGCTATTCAGCGCTACTGGACGCCAGTCGCCGATTTACATTCAACGGAAGACGAGCGGAAGCTACAGTGCTTTAAGATCTACTCGCACAGTTGATTTCTCCGACGCCTCCCGGCGCTGCCGCCAGGGGGCGCCACCGTGTCGAGCAAAGGCGTCCCTTGGCGGGGCCAAAAACAGCTGCAAGCAGCAGATTTCGCCCCAACCCCCCATCCCCAATGTCCCTACCAGCCAGTCGGAATAAGTAGATGGAAACACGGATTAGGAAGGCGGATCAGCTAGATTGCGTCCGGGCCCGCCCGAAGAATTCAAAGCAGCCAGGCGAAGGACCCAACCAGATGCAGCTGCGAATAACGAAGGACATCATATTCTCATCATAGGCAGCGCGCCGCGAGAGGGATGGAGCAAGGTGCAACGCGGATGGGATCCCCGAAACGTGTTCGGGTGTGCAGATGCGGGCTGGGGGGCGCATGCGGGCGCTGCCACTGGGGCCTTCGGCGGAACTCCCTATGGGCCACGAAACAAGTGAGGGGTGTGTCAGACTAGGCAAATGAAGGTATACGAGCCGTGCCACTGGGGCCTTCGGTGGAGCTCCATATACGGGGCCGCGAGGCGTATGAGGGGTGTGCCGAAATTGAGGCGACGCCGCCATGCGAATCTGGCCACTGAGGCCTGCAGTGGAGCTCCCTATGGGGCCACGAAACGTGTAAGGGGTGTACCGACATGGGGCGGTGCTGCCATGCAAACCCTGCCACTGGGGCCTTCAGTGGAGTTCCCTACGGGGCCACGAAACGTGCGAGGGGTGAGCCGCAATGGGGCGGGGCCGCCGTGCGAACCTGAACCTTGCTGGGGCCTTCGGTGGAGCTTCCGACGGGGCCACGAATGCTGTGAGGTGTGTACCGGAATGTGGCGGGGCCGCCATGCGAATCCTGCCACCTGGGCGTTCGACGGGGCTTCCTGTGGGGCCACGACACGTTTGAGTGGTGTGCCGAAATGTGGCGGGGCCGCCATGCGAGCCTTGCCACTGGGGCCTTCGATAGTTCCCTATGGGGCCACGAAACGTGTGAGGGGTGTGCCGACATGGGGCGGGGCCGCCATGCGAACCCTGGAGCTCCCTGTGGGCCTTTGGGGCCACGGAACGCGTGAGAAATGCGGCGAAACAGAGACATGCGAAGGGCAGAGGCGAGGAGGGGGGGAGGGAGAAGGGGGAGGGGTAGGGGTAGGGGTAGGGGTAGGGGTCAAGCTAGCCAGCTCGAGCGAGTCAAGCATGGCATGCCCATTCCCACCCGCCCTCCCACAACATAAGAAACAGTGATGGCACAACGGACAGGCTGCTGTCTTCCCCCTCGCCGTACCCCTAAACCCCCCAAATCCGTTCCGAAGGAAGCCTTCGGACTCCTCCCGGGTCCAAACGCACAACTTTTTCGAGTCGCGTCCAGCCGTGACTTAGAGGAGGACCCCGAGGGCCAGAAAGCTTCGAACACCGATTCTCGAGGCAACGGACAGGCTGCTGTCTTCCCCCTCGCCGTACCCCCAAACCCAGATCCGGTCCGAAGGAAGCCTTCGGACCCCTCCCGGGTCCAAACGCACAATTTTTTCGAGTCGCGTCCAGCCGTGACTTAGAAGAGGACCCCGAGGGCCAGAAAGACTCGAACACCGATGCTCGAGGCGCAAAGTTCGAGCACCTCAATGAAACACTCCCCCTCGGCGCGCCGCCGACCATGACCTGTGGGCGGCGCCGGCGCCGTGCCGCCGCGACGGGCCCTCCCGGTTCGGGCTTCGAGGCTCCTCGGAAGCTCTCGCGGCTCTTGGGCCCACATCCCCGACGATAAGATTTTCTCCGTGCTGGCGTTTTTCCGTCGACTTCGCACGTTTTTCCCTCGACTTCGCCCTCCAGGGAACGGTTTTTGGCCCCCCGGACCAATGAGAAAATATCCAGGACGCAAAACTGCTCCCGAGAAAGGGGTCGAGATCTCAGAAAGGCTTGGGACAAATTCGCCGGCCCAACGGGCCAGAGGCGTGCAAAGATCTCCGGTAACTAGTTAACAATCTTCTAGTTCGCGCGCGCGGGGCGACCCCTGGGGGCCCCCGGACGAAAAGTACCCCGAGCAGGTCCCGGGCCAGCCCAACGGGCCAGAGGCGTGCTAAGATCTCCGGTAACTAGTTAACAATCTTCTAGTTTGCGCGCGCGGGGCGGCCCCTGGGGGCCCCCGGACGAAAAGAACCCCGAGCAGGTCCTGGGCACGTCGGTCCCAGCGATGGTTTTCTTCTTCGGCGCTGACTTCCAGGTCCCAGAGCGCCCCAGGAACGCCCCAAGAGAGCCGAGACGCCCCCGAGACGATCCGAGGGGCCCTGAGTCGCCGAAAGATCGTTCCAAGACGCCCAAGATGGCCTCCAGACGGCCGAAGACGCCGCCAAGAAACCGCGGGGAGCCTCAGGAGGCCCTCCAAGAGCCTGAACAAGCAAAAACCTCCCAGGCATTCGTCACCCCAGGGCCTCCTGGAACGCCCGGGCGCCCAATGAATTGGCGAGCTAAAAACGTGCGCCGAGCCAAAGCGGGAGCGCAACTTTGAGAAAATTTCGCTCGGCGCCCAAGCGGGAAGGTCATTTCATTCACTTCGAGCGGGGGGGGAGGGGGGCGTGCCGCGCCCAATTCTTGCCATGCACTTTTGCGGGGTGGACGACAAGAACAGCTATGTGGGCAGGGAAAATCGGCAAGGCACTGCTTCTGACAAGTAAGGTGGCCCCTCCCGCCTTGGGGTTGCCCCAGAAGTCCGCGCGCGATGCGCGCCGCGCCCCATTCCTGCCGCGCATTTCGCATCGTCGACGACAAGACAGGCCATGATGAAAGGAACAACGGCAACTCTGTATTGTTTTTTACAATCAGGATGGGAGGGCCCGCAGCCCGCATGGACGTCCGCGCGCGATGTGCGCCGCGTCCCACTCCTGCCACATATTTCGCACCGTCGGCGACAAGGCAAGCCATGCTGAGAGGAAAAATTAGCCTGGCGAAGGACCCAACCATATGCAACTGTGAATACCGCAAGTGTGAATATCGTTTTCGGCGGCGCTACCTCTGGGTAGTGGAGACGCATGCGAACACCCCCACTGGGGCCTTCGGTGGAGCTCCCTATGGGGCTACGAAACGCTGCCCTGGGTGGGGGAACCGCATGCAGGCAGCCCCACTGGGGCCTTCGGTGGAGCTCCCTGTGGGGCCACGAAACGCTGCCCTGGGTGGGGGAACCGCATGCGGGCACCCCCACTGGGGCCTACGGTGGAGCTCCCTCTGGGGCTACGAAACGCTGCCCTGGGTGGGGGAACCGCATGAGGGCAGCCCCACTGGGGCCTTCGGTGGAGCTCCCTATGGGGCTACGAAACGCTGCCCTGGGTGGGGGAACCGCATGTGGACACCCCCACTGGGGCCTTCGGTGGAGCTCCCTATGGGGCCACGAAACGCTGCCCTGGGTGGGGGAACCGCATGTGGACACCCCCACTGGGGCCTTCGGTGGAGCTCCCTATGGGGCCACGAAACGCTGCCCTGGGTGGGGGAACCGCATGCGAACACCCCCACTGGGGCCTTCGGTGGAGCTCCCTATGGGGCACGAAACGCTGCCCTGGGTGGGGGAACCGCATGCGGACACCCCCACTGGGGCCTTCGGTGGAGCTCCCTATGGGGCTACGAAACGCTGCCCTGGGTGGGGGAACCGCATGTGGACACCCCCACTGGGGCCTTCGGTGGAGCTCCCTATGGGGCTACGAAACGCTGCCCTGGGTGGGGGAACCGCATGTGGACACCCCCACTGGGGCCTTCGGTGGAGCTCCCTCTGGGGCTACGAAACGCTGCCCTGGGTGGGGGAACCGCATGCGGACACCCCCACTGGGGCCTTCGGTGGAGCTCCCTCTGGGGCTACGAAACGCTGCCCTGGGTGGGGGAACCGCATGTGGACACCCCCACTGGGGCCTTCGGTGGAGCTCCCTCTGGGGCTACGAAACGCTGCCCTGGGTGGGGGAACCGCATGTGGACACCCCCACTGGGGCCTTCGGTGGAGCTCCCTCTGGG